CTCAGGGGCGGGGCTTAGACGGGCGACCAATCCCAGCACGTGTGACGGCGGCGTACTCGGATGCGGAGGCGGGGTTAGAGGCGGGGCGAGGCTCGAAGGGCGGGGATAGAAGCGGGGCGGGGCTAAGGGGCGGGCCTGGGAAGTTTGACCATCCCCAGTAGGTGTGACCGAGGCAGGCTCAGGAGCGGAGGGAAGGCTGTAGGCGGGACTAGAGAGGGTCTCCGCGCTCCGAAGGCGGGACTAGGATGGAAACTAGGTTGAGGAGCGGGAGGAGGGCCGAACCAGGAACAGAGGACGTGGCAGAGGGCGAAGTCTCTACTTTTTTTCACTTTTTCTTGAAGCTCTTTTGTGTGCCTGATGCTTATACTTACGTTCTTGTATGCACGAGGATAATGTTGCATAAGTGGGTTACCATGTCCAAAGGGTATATTGAATTCATTTTGATGATTACTGCCATATTGTTCTCCCTAGAGGTCTGTGTTGCCCCTCCTATGCGGTTATGTTTGTTTGTTTTAAATTGTGGTCTATATACCAAAAATAAGAACAAACCCTCCTGCCTTGTAAAAGATTTCAACTCAGAGGGTCACCGTGGGGTAGAGGGTTTCCAAGATTGTAAGTTGTACTTTTTTTTTTTGTCCCATGAAAGCTTTTATTTTTAATTTTATTTGAATTTTGGTATAATAAACAGAAGTCTGGTATCACTAAGCTCCTGATCCAGTGTTTCCTGCATCCCAAATTTCATTACCAAAAAAAAGCCAATTATTTAAGCAACTGTCAGCTTTCTGACTTGCAGCCAAGACCATTCCTAACTGGACACAATGGCTCTTCCATCTGCTCAGAAAATTCTGATGGTACATCAACTCCTTTGCTCGTCTTGCTGTGAGATAAAAATCATAAAAAGTCCAGTCCCTTTTGTTCAGCTTAGAGTGTGCCAGGCACACACTTACTGTCATCCCACGCTCGCCTGTCAGTTTATCCAAGTGTAATGGCTCCCTTGTTGCTTGTGATGCTGGAAGCAATGCCACCAGATTTTGAAATACTGGCAAGGTCACCTGAGGTGAAGAGATTTCAGTGGAACTTCCATACCAACAGCAGAATAGGGAGAAGGAATCAGCTGTCCACGTCTAAAGGACTAGCTCCTGAAAGCCTTGTAAATAGCAGAGGAACGGTCAAAGAGAGTGCCACACAAGGAGCTCCTGGGTTGAAAGGCACTCAAAATATGACTAGGGACGGTTGCTCCAGAATAGAGTGAGTCAGAGTAATGTGGGAGGGGTAAAGTTTTGAGAACTTTTGCTGATATGGCCCGACTCAATGATGAGAAGAATGAGAAGGTTCATTTGTAATCTGACAATGGTCTCTGGGTCTCCATAGGAACCATTATCAGTAGGGTGCAAACCCCTCCTACAGGAACCAAGCTAATGGTCCCGAGCTTCAGAGAGAAGTAGTCCATTGTCCCCAGCAGCAGGGAGCAGGCCCACCCCCCATGGTGGGATGAGACAGCAGTCTGGCAGCAAGTATCTGACTTCCCCCCACAATTTATTCATCACTAGCTTTAGTGGTTGGTGTGTAAATCTGAATAATAGCTGTATTAACTGGACATTCTTGCAGGTGTATAAAGAGAAGCCTATCACAGACAGCATTGTACTTTAAGACAGATATTGAAATCTTCGTTATGAGGATAAATATGAGGCCAATACTAGCCCATCTCAGCTCACTAATACTAAGGATATCAATCTTCATGCATTGCATTTCATTTTTGATGACTTCTCATCCTTCTCATCATTGAGTTGGGCCAGACTGCTGTCTCATCCCACCACGAGGGTGGGCCTGCTCCCTGCTGCTGGGGACAATGGATACCCGACTGATAATGATTCCCATGCAGACCCAAAGTCAAGTTAAGCTGCACCAGTAAACTAGGATCCGCCCATCTTGCCGCATGTACACCCCCAATCCCTCCTCCTTCTATAGCGTGTATGTCCCTAGATCACCCCCTCCCATCACTGTAATACCTGTAGCACAACCCTTTCCTGTGACGTATGTCTTCACCTGTAATGTGGGGGCTTACACGTCCCCAATGTCCCCAGAGAGTATAAAAGCTTGGGGAGCATTAAAGTTCTCTCTCCCTCCACATGGATTACCAAGCGGGGCTGAGGTGAGCATGCTACTATGAAATGTGTCTGACTCCATTTATTTCTATATATCTCTTTTATCTCTCATGCTCTCTATAACTTTACTATAATATTTACTTATTATCGCTGTACAATTGCGCCTACCAACCCGTAGTGATTGTGCTAGGAGCTGGCTTCTTCTGGCACCCTCTCATTACTGGGTAACCTATAGTGTAACCCTTCCCTGTGACGTATGTCTCTACCTGTAATTAGTGGGCTGGCATGCCCCCAAAAGTTATATAGGCGCCGGTCAGCAATATAGGGGGCTCAGACTCAGACCTCTAGGACTCTCTCTCTCCCCTCTCCTCTCCAGTCCTCTCTCCCTTGTTCCCTTACCCCCCTTCCCTTCCCCCTCTCTCCACGTGGACCACCAAGCTGGGCTGAGGTGAGCAATGGTATCATGTAATATGTCCAACTGCATTATTGTAATATCTCTCATGCTCTTGATGACTTTAATATAATATTTATATATCTCAACCGTACAGTTGTGCTTTCTTGACCCCGGAATTGTTCTTACTGAATCGGAGTAGTAGTAATAGGAGTATTAATGGTGGGGGCTGGCCCCCAACCTCCCTCCGCGCCACTTTTTATTTAATACTACAATAAATGAATCAGTCTGAACTTGATCAAGCATGCAATCAAGATGCATTGGTCATTATTGGCAAATGGAATGCAAACGTAGGGGACAAAGAGGAAGGTCGGGTAGCTGGCAAATATGATCTTGGTGACAGGAATGAAGCTGGAGATAGCAGGATAGGATTTTGCAAAAACCAACGACCTCCTTACCGCAAACACCTTTTTATAGTAACATACACAGGAACTGAGCACGTGGACCTCACTATATGAAAACCACAATAGTCAAATTGGCTGTATCTATAGGAAGAGTGATAGAGAAGTTCAATATCATCAGCGAGAACAAGGCTAGGGCCAATTGTGGAACTGCTAATATGCAATTTCAGCCAGAAGCTAAAGAAAATTTTAAGTCCACAAGGACCAAAATGGGACCTTGAGTATATCCCACCTGAATTGAAAGAACGTCGCAAGAGCATATTTAATATGTGGAACCCTAATATGGAGCCCTCCCTGGTGGTGTAGTGGTTATGCAGTGGATTGCTACCCTCAAGGTCAGGAGTTTGAAGTCATCAGTTGCTGCATGGGAGAAAGACAAGGTTTTCTACCCCACAGGGGCAGTGCTACCTGTCCTAGAGGATCAGTATGAGTTAGAATCGACTTGATAGCAGTGAGTTTGAGCACTAATGACAGAGCCCTGACAAGCTATGACATCAAGAACATCATACGTCAATCAAAGAGGCAGCAAAGGAAGAAAAGGCCACAGTGGATGTCAGAAGAGACTCTCAAATGGAAGAAATGACTAAGTAAAAGGGTTAAATAGAAAAATTCAGAAGGCAGCTAAAGAAGACAAAATGAAGCCTTATAATGAAATGTGAAGGAAAAAATCCTATAATTAGAACACCAAAAGGTAAGAGCACACGCAGCATATCTAAAGTAAAATCACTGTGGGGTGGGGGGGAAATCAAACCTCAAGTTTCTGTACTGAAGGATTCTATGGGCAAAATATTGAACGATGCAAGAAGCATGGATACAGGAAGGATGATACAGAAGGAATGCTCAGAGTCACTGTGCCAAGAAGAATTGGATGACATTCAATCATTTCAAGAGGTAGCATATGATTAAAAATCAATGGTGCTGAAAGAAAATGTCCAAATTACATGGAAGGCATTCGCAAAAGAACAAGGCTCCAGGAATTGACAGACTAAACGATTAAAATATTTTCAAAAACCGATACAGCTCTAAAAACATTCACTGACCTCCGCCAGGAAATTTGGCAAACAGCAACCTGGCCAGCAAACTGGAAGAGATCCATATTTGTAACCATTCTAATGAAAAATGACCCCATAGGATGGGTAAATTATTGAACCAGCTGTTAAGTGTGAGACTGCTAACTACAAGGTCATTTGTCCAAGACCACCCAGAGGAGAAAGATCAAGCTATCCGGTCCTTAAAAAAATTTACAATCTTGGAAACTCTATATAGAGCCACTGTGGGTGACAGTCAACTCAAGGAAGTGGGGTTTTTGCTTTAATGGTTTATCATTATTATCAAATGCAAGTAAAATGTTGCTAAAGATCATTTTGGAGCAGTACATCACAGGGAGCTGCCAGAAATTCAAGCTGGATTCAGAAGATGACATGCTGGGAGGGATATCATTGCTGATGTCAGATGGCCCTGGGCTGAAGGCAAAGGATACCAGACAGATGTTTACTTGTGTCTCATTGATTATGCAAAGGCATTCAACCATGTAGATCATCATAAGCTATGAGTAACATTGAAAAGAATGGAAATTTCAGAACTCTTCATTGTACTCATG